ACACACACACATACACACACACAAACTACAATATTGTTTCTGTCTGATTATATTTGTGTGTGTGTGCCTAGATAGGAGATGGTGAATCCCAATGATTACAACTCCCATGAGTTGTAGCATTGAGCCATGGCAGTTAATGTTGTGTCCGATTGCATCAGTTTTAAAGCATAGATGTATCCTGACTTAGTCACAGTCTTGTCCTTATCAATGCCTGGTAAAGAGAATTTATACATTTTAAGCAAAATTTCAACTAGAAAGCAACTTCCAGCTTTTCCTCAGAACAGCTTGCTGGGGTTTTTCAAGGTTGAAATTGTTTTCAAACTGTTAGCTCCCCATGTCAATCTACCTTGTGTCTGTTTACTGAGGATGAGAAGAGATAGAGATACTTCTTGGTCCCTCCTCCATGTGGTTTTCCTTGAAGGGAAGAATGCTAATAGGATCTTTCCTGTTTGAATCCTCTGACAAAGTTAAAGTCATGATTGCATTTCCTGATGACTGACCAAAGGTCAGGGCTGATAGCAACAGTCAGACCCAGCACTGGGTTGCAGCGAGAGCCAAGATCCCAAGGTTACTACAGTTCAGTTTCTGAAGGTAGACCCTCCTCTCTTCTCTCTCTCTTTCTCTGTTGTCTGTCTGTCTGTCTGTCTAAATCTTTCTCTCAGACCTTCAACTCCCACCCCACCCCTTTACTACAGAAGCAATAAGCAGTCAGCCATCCAGATGTGGAAAACTTTCAGATACGTAAGCTATCTCTTTTTTGACTTTGTCTCTTATCCTTTGGGTTTGGGAGCCAAGGAGAAGACTCTATGGGGACTAAGGGTGGATCATTTTGGAACAAGGAAACCATCAGCAGAAGATATTTCCTTCTTACATTTTTAGAGATGCAAATGAGGCTACAGTTTTAAGGAATTAGCCATATTGGTCTGTTTCAGTATAAAAAAGGAAGGAAAAACAAGTCTTGTGATTCCTTGTAAGACTGGCTAGTTTCTTTTCACCCTAAGCTTTCACAGACTCCTGCTTGCATCTGAAGTCCATCTGAAGAAGCAGGCAGTAGTCCATCAAAACGTATGCTAAAATAGGTGCCGCAAGACTGCTTTTTCTTCCCTTATTAATATGAAGAAGTCATTTTAAAACTGAAACAAGGACTTGATTGGTTAGTGGGTTTTTTTGGAAGGTTGAGGGGGAAGTAGAGACACCCTACTTGAAGTATCTTTTGTCAAATATCTGAATTGTGGTGCTTTTAAACATTATTATTGCTACAGCCTTTTTCTTTTTCTTTTTTTGCTTCTGTCGTTAAAATACCCTTGCTAGCCTTTAATACGAACTTAATGAAAATAATAAATATATTATTCTGTAAGATGACACAGGAATCAGTTGTTTTTGCTTCAGGAGAACAGTTTGGCCACTACCCCTACGACAATTGGGGTAGTGGCCAAACATTAATAAGAGTTGGGGAAGTGGTGATCAGTTTCTAGAAAAATAGATTAATTTCTGTTTCATATTTAAATGAGAAATTTCAGGGTGGACCCAGCCTTATTCTGAGTAGAATTTAATGTCAACGTAATTATAATGTGATATATTTTATTAGTGTTATCCTCTCTGTCATCACCTCAATAGGCACAGGTTTGGTATGATGTTGTTTTTGTTTCTCTTCTTAAAATTTCTTTCATGATTGTTTTCTGTTGAAGATACAATTGGTCTTAATGATTCTTGATGGAGCAAAAAAAAGGCGCATCAGTTTTAGTATTTTGTTTCCACTATAATGGAATGCTGTATTATTGATATGGTGCTTTAAACAGAACTACATGATCTAAAGCAGTGTTTCTCAAGCTGGATGTCGGGACCCCTGGGGGGGTTGTGAGGGGGTTTCAGGGGGGGTCACCAAAGACCATAAAACATATTTCTGATGGTCTTAGGAATCTCTTTGGCAAAGAAAGCTGAAGATCTCTCCGCTTGTCCTTCTCTTTCGTCTTCCTTTTTGCTGTTGGTGAACTACAACTCTCTCTCCACCCCCCCATCAACCCCACCAGTATTCAATGCTGGCCATGTCAGTAGAGTGCCAAGCTTGGTGCGGATGCATTATGGGCTGGGTTCAGAATGTTTTTTGATTGCAGGTTAACTATAAATCCCAACAATTACAACTCCCAAATGTCATGGTCTATTTTCCCCAAACTTTACCAGTGTTCACATCCGGGTATATTGAGTATTTGTGCCAAGTTTGGTCCTGATCCATCATTGTTTGAGTCCGCAGTGCTCTCTGGAGGAAGGTGAACTACAACTCCAAAACTCAAGGTCAATGCCCACCAAACTCTTCCAGTATTTTCTCTTGATCATGGGAGTTGTGTGTGCCAAGATTGGTTCAGTTCCATCATTGGCAGAGTTCAGAATGCTCTTTGATTGTAGAGTAACTATAAATCCCAGCAACTACAACTCCCAAATGAAAAAAAAAATTATCCCCTCCAACCCCACCAGTACTAATATTTGAGCATATTGGATATATGTGCCAAATTTGGTCCAGTGAATGAAAATACATCCTGCATACATTATGATTCATAACAGTAGCAAAATTACAGTAATGAAGTAGTTGAGGGGTCACTAAAACTACGAGTCGCAGCATTAGGAAGGTTGAGAACCACTGCCCTAAAGGCACCAGATCCTGTCTGATCCTTGATACTATGGACCTTTTGCAGAGGACAAATTCCGGTGGCAACTCCGGTTCTGCAGCAGCCTTGCTGTGGAGCTTGCCAATACTCATTATACACCAGAGGACTATTTCAGGGATTGCTCTGTGGCAAAACTTCTGGGAACTAGAGTTGCCACCAAAAAAAGCGACCTGTGGCAACACATGAAGCTTCCTGTGGTTGCATTGCTCTCAATGGGTCAAGCCAGCAGGCGAATGCTTCCCCCCATGTGATAAAGTAGCGGGGAAGCTGGGACGGTGCGGGGTGTGGGGCAACAGGTTCCCACACCCCTGGACGTGTACTGCCAGAATCACCACAATCCGTGGGAATTCCAGCAGCACACCAGAAGAGGTCCTAAGCAGGATCAGCTCTGGTTAGTACTTCAAAGGAAAACTGTCAACAAATACCAGGTGTTGTGGGCTTGATGTCAGAGGAGGGAACTGACAGAACAACTTCCAAGTTTTCCTTGCCTAAGAAAATCCTATGAAACTCATTGGGTCACCATTAGTTGGAACGTGACTTGAAAGCTCATCTATAAACACTATGTAGTATACTGAAAGAGGATAAGCACCTGTGGTATTCTGCATCAAATGGTCCAAACAATCTAACCAAATGGATAAAGGGTTTTATATGATGTATTCTCTTTCTGAAAGGGCTGCGGTGGCACAGTGGGTTAAACCGCTGACCAGCGGTTTGAATCTGTGGAACGGGGTGACTTCCCTTTGTTAGCCCCATCATCTGCCAACATAGCGGCTCAAAAACATGCAAATATGAGTAGATCAATAGGTACCACTCCGGCGGGAAGGTAACAGCGCTCAATGCAGTCATGCCAGCCACATGACCTTGGAGGCATCTGTTGACAGTGCCAGCTCTTTGGCTTAGGAATAGAGATGAGCACCACTCCCCAGAGTCAGACTCAACTAGGCTTATTGTCAAAGGAAAAGCTTTACCTTTACCTTTTATTATCTTTCTGAAATCTATATCATGCCTATGTTTATATTTCTTCTTATGGGGATAAGCACTTCTACATGAAAGTTTTGAAAGGGACAAGAGATGTGTACTTTAGTGGCAAGTACATGCTTTGCATACAGAAGGCTTGAAATCTAGTCCTTGGCAACTCCAAGTAGGGCAGAAAGCTCTAGAGCCGAGGGAAGGAATGTTTTGCCCACAATTACTAGTTTTTGTTACCAACAATGCATACAGCTGAGCCGGTTTGTCCAGTGCTGCCAAATGATCACGGTCATCCCACATTTGATGAACATGCATACACATATCTGTACTATCCCACTCACCCCCTCTGCTGCACACACACAACTGCATATGTTCAGTCCTGATAGGGATCCTTTGCCCTTTCTATAGTTCAAGTCCTTACTAGGCTCCCAATGGCTTGTCATTCGCATTAATGAAAGCATCCTCTCATTCCTAACAATGGCATGCCTCCTTCTGCTCTACACAGAAGCAAACTCTATTCATCCATCATCCAGTTTCCCCATATGACACTAGCTTATAATCTGTGGAAAACCCATTAACTTCCATTGGAAGTTCTTTTCAATATAAGTAGCAGTCACTGGGGGGCATGAATGCACACAGTAGGTGGGGTTTTATCCCTTTGCCTCTTGCTATGGTCCTCCCAAAGGAGGCATGTCATTGGAAGGAATGAGAGGGATGCTTTCTGTATTGTAGATTGTAAGCATTGAGGATCTAGTAAGGATTAGAACTATTACAGGGGGCAAAGGATCCCAATCTCGATTGAGCTCTGTGAGTAGTTTATTTCTCTTTTTTTCTGGCTTGTGAGGGAGAGATGCTGCAGATAGTACAAAAGGGGAAGAAAACTGTCTCTGAAATCCAGTTGGGAATCCTCCTAGTGATTCATCTAACATTTGGGCTCCCAAGTTCACCATCCCAGCTTTAGAGAGGAGTGTTGTCAGTACAGATGACACCGAGTTATATGAGTGAATCTTCTAATTTGGTAAAATGCATCTATGTTCTGGTGCATTTAATGGAATTCTGGTTTACACAATATGAAACAACTGGATGAGGAAGCCAAGTCTAAATGCAGACTGTCACCTGTAGAAAGCGTTTTTGTTGTTTTTGTGGGCATTCAAGTTGCTTCTGACGTATCGCGACCTTAAAATGAACTTCGCACAAGGTTTTCTGAGGCTGAGTGTGTGACTTGGCCAAGTTCACTCACTGGGGTTTTCATGGCCAAGTATGGATTTTAAAGCCTGTTTTCCAGAATCCTTGTTCAGTGCTCAAACCACTACCCCACACTTTTATCTTGTGCTACTGGTGTAATGGGTTAAACCCTTGTGTTAGCAGGACTGCTGATTGAAAAGTCGGTGGTTCGAATCTGTGGAGAAGGGTGAGCTCCCATCTGCCAACTCAAGCTTCCATTTGGGGACATGAAAGAAGCCTCCCACGGAATGGTAACACATCAGGGCACCCCCTGGGCAATGTCCTTGCAGACAGCCAATTCTCTCACACTGGAAATGACTTGCAGTTTCTCAAGTCACTCCTGAAACGGAAAAAAAAATCTTTTGCTAAAATACTAAACTGAAAATTCTGCAGAAACACACTTTTCTGTTCCTGGAACATCCAAATCTTGTGCAGTAGCAAAATAAACCAATCTATTCATGTAGTCTGTTTGGGTCAGGGATGGGAAATATTCAGCCTAACTACCCTCAATTAGGCCAAACATTTTGAACCCCCTAAGTGCAAGATACTGTAGTATTAGGCCAAACACTTTGACCCCTAAGTGTAAGAAACTGTAGTATTTTCTCAAAGCTGTCAGATCTTCTAGGATTTTTTTTTCTGTCAACTACCCCAAATCTCCCTAAACCACCTTAAAGGGCAACAGTTGGCTCTTCTAACCCACACCTGCACCTTTAATGACCCCCAACTAGACAAAGAAAAAAGTTGTTCATAACTCTGCTAAAATGGCAAAGTGATATCATGCCATTCTGGGCATACAGAAATACATTGCTGCAGTCTGCTGAGTGGACACAGGAAGGAAAAATGGTCCCTGCCTTGTTTGCAGTTGTCCCCATACCCTAGAGTAGTGGTTCTCAACCTGTGGGTCCCCAGATGTTTTGGCCTTCAACTCCCAGAAATCCCTAACAGCTGGTAAACTGGCTGGGATTTCTGGGAATTGTAGGCCAAAACGCCTGGGGACCACAGGCTGAGAACCACTGCCCAAGGGCAATTTTTGTAGCAATTGCTTCCGGGTTTAAAGGGAACAATGTCACCAGGATTTCTGGGTTACTTCCTTTAAAAGCTCATTGAAGTTGATGTTCATAGTTCAGGAGGGAAGTTAATAAGAGTGAGGCAAATAGAAGGAGACTTTTAGGGCAAATAGAAGAAGATGGAAAGGGAATGGCATATAGGGGAGACTAGAGCTTCTGCTGTTCCTGGGAGAAGTAAAGAAAGGGAATAAGGAGCCTGTCAGTCAACACAGTCAGAAGATGGGGAAGGTACCTTGTCCAAAGCTTCAAGAACAGCTGAACAAGATGGGGAAGGTACCTTGTCCAAAGCTTCAAGATATTTGTCTTCCAAGGTTCCTGGACAAATGCCCAGGAGGGAGAAAAGTAGAAAAGCAGCTCAAACTATTCTACCTGAACCTGCCTAACAAACAGTTTAAACCACTAGAGACTCTTAAGGCCCATCCAGACAGTACCTTTATCCTAGGAGCTTCCACTGCAAACAGGAGAGTGGCCAGACATTGTTCCCTTTAAACCTGGAAGCAATCGCTACAAAACGCAAAAAACGCAAGATTTCCAAGTGCAGGATTATTGCAGTTTCGAGCCGAATATCTGGATCTTCACATGTCTATATGTCCCTGCAATCGGAAATTATGGATTTTTTTTTAAAAACTCTGGGTTTGTTCCTGGGTTTTAGATGCTTGTTCCTGATTGGTCGGTTCCTAAAAAGAAGGTGACACTTGAGTAGAAGGCAAAAACTTTGTGTGCCAGAAACTTCACGAAATGTGTGGAGGGCACAGTTTCTCTGGCCTGAACATAGAATTGAACTTTTGCAGTGATTCGCATAACAGAATCTCCGCATATCTGCATCTTGCGGGTTTTTTTAAAAACTGTCGGTTTCCATCAGAAGTCCCATGGCAGCCATCATAGGAGCCTCTAAATATCAGAAGAAAGCATCAAGTCTGGACAACAGAGGCAGAAATCCCGAGACCAACAGGTCTGTATGTGGACTTTTCCTGAAGTCCTGGGATTTTTTGCCCCTCACTAAAACCCGTGATTTAGTACTGTCAGGAAGCACCCTCGGTTAACATTGCCTGATTCAAGCTCACAGCCTAAAAGTCAGCAAACTGGCTTGAGACAAAACTCTTTTCTAAAGACGTCAGGAAGCCTGTACAGTCACAGAGGGAGCAACCATTAACAACACAAATCTTTTAAAAGTTACCTTTTTTTTTAACTATGGCTCTGGAGTCCTCCAGTTGGTATAGTCTGGGTCATGGTGATTATGAGATATGGGGAGTTCCGGTTCAAAAAAGTTTCCAAGTTCTATACAAAAGACTCCTGCTAGCAGCTGTTATACCTGAAGGTGTGTCCACACACTTCACGCAGATAAAATCTCCTTCTGCAGTAGTTGCTTTGATTCAAGAAATTGCTGCTTAAACTCACATTAAGGGGGGGGGGGGGGGGAGAGAGAGAATGAACAAATGAACCCAGAAAGATGAACTTGAATAACCTCTCTTTTTGTTCTCCTTCCCAAGGACCAAGTGTAGGCAGGGAGGGGAGAGTGCACTGTCCATTCTGGGATCTGATTATAGCTAGGATGACCTGACTTTTTTCACTCCTTGGGCTGCTGCCACAAGCTTTTCAAGCCATGCTGAGTGGTTAGAAGGGGGAAAATGAGTGCAAGGAAGAGAAGCACGGAAGGGGAAAGGTAGCTAAACTAGAGAAGCAGCAGTTTTGTTCCTGGATAAGGTAAGAAGAGCTGCACTTGGAATTCTCAATTTCGGATGTGGTATTGGCTCCATTTCTCTCTCTCAGAGGCTTGGGATAAGAGAATTTTCTTTTCTGGGAGCTTTGCGAGAGCTGGGAAGATGTGTTTCCAGACAAAAGGTGCCTTTCAGCTCTTTCAGATTTCTTGTTTTTATGTTTAATAGTGAACAAGTAGGGGTTTGTGTTCTGTAAAACATCTGCAAGATTAGAAGGAAAGAGGGTGTCAGGGCTTAATCTCTGCATTCTGGATAGAAGGCATCTATAAGAAATAATAATAATAGAAAAACACGAAAGTGAAGCAGAGTCAGACCTAAAGGCCCATTTGCTTCAGCATTCTATTTACACAGTGGTCAAACAGGTGTATAGGAAACTTACACAAAGCATATATGCAATAGCACTCTCTCATCATTGTTCCCAAGCAACTTTTTTTCTGCCTCTCCTATGGGAAGTAATATATAGCCAACGTATTAAGCAGTTATTGATGGTGGCCATCATTCCATCTTGGGATAGGAAAATCCAAAGCTTACCTACATGAATACATGGATGGACCTAACTATATACTGTATGTATTGAGTATAAACTGACCCAAATATAAAACTGGGAAAACATATTGACTCAAGTATAAGCCGAGGGTGGGAAATGCAGCATCTACCGGTAAATTTCAAAATAAAAATAGATACCAATAAAATTACATTAATTGAGGCATCAGTAGGTTAAATGTTTTAGAATATTTACATAAAACTATAATTTAAGGTAAGACTGTCCAACTCTGATTAAACTATTATTCTAACCTTCTTCAATGTTAATGTGCTTACGTAGCTTTTTGATAATAATAATCGATTAAAATAATAAATGTAATAAAATAACAATAATAGAGTAAAATAATGTAAATGTAATAATAAAAATACTTCATACTTCAGATAATAAAGCCCGACTGCTCATTGGAGGGAAGCATGTTAGAGGCAAAGATAAAGTACTTTGGACACATCATGAGAAGAAAGGAAAGCTTAGAGAAGACAATGATGCTGGGGAAAATGGAAGGAAAAAGGAAGAGGGGCCGACCAAGGGCAAGATGGATGGTTTGACCTTGAAGGAGTTGGGGGAGGTGACAGCCGACAGGAAGCTCTGGCGTGGGCTGGTCCATGAGGTCACGAAGATTCGGAAACGACTGAACGAATTAACAACAATAATAACAATAATGATAGAATAAAATAATAAATGTAATAATAAAAATAGAGTAAAATAATAAATGTAAGAACAATAATACAGTAAAATAAATGTAATAATCATAATAATAAATAGGGAAAAATAATAAATGTTATAATAATAATAAAAACAATAAAATAATAAATGTAACAACAACAACAACAGAGTAAACTAATTAATAACTTTGACTCAAGTATAAGCCAAGGGGGGCTTTTTCAGCCTTGAAAAGGGACTGAAAACTTGGCTTATTCTTGAATATATACAGTAATTGTTTTTTTTAATATAAAAGGTAAGGTTCCTGCAACAGTCAGAACTGACCACGGAACAACAGACTGGTTCAAGATTGGGAAAGGCGTACGGCAAGGCTGCATCCTCTCACCCAACCTTTTTAACTTGTATGCAGAACACATCATGCGATGTGCGGGGCTGGATGAATGCAAGGCTGGGGTGAAAATTGCTGGAAGAAACATTAACAACCTCAGATATGCAGATGACACCACCCTGATGGCCGAAAGCGAGGAGGAGCTGAGGAGCCTTCTAATCAAGGTGAAAGAAGAAAGCGCAAAAGCCGGGTTGCAGCTAAACGTCAAAAAAAACCAAGATTATGGCAACAAGAATGATTGACAACTGGAAAATAGAGGGAGAAACCGTGGAGGCCGTGACAGACTTTGTATTTCTAGGTGCAAAGATTACTGCAGATGCAGACTGTAGCCAGGAAATCAGAAGACGCTTACTTCTTGGGAGGAGAGCAATGTCCAGTCTCGATAAAATAGTAAAGAGTAGAGACATCAGACTGGCAACAAAGATCCGCCTAGTAAAAGCCATGGTATTCCCTGTAGTAACCTACGGATGTGAGAGCTGGACCTTAGGGAAGGCTGAGTGAAGGAAGATCGATGCTTTTGAACTGTGGTGCTGGAGGAAAGTGCTGAGAGTGCCTTGGACTGCGAGAAGATCCAACCAGGCCATCCTCCAGGAAATAAAGCCCGACTGCTCACTGGAGGGAAAGATACTAGAGACAAAGTTGAAGTACTTTGGCCACATCATGAGGAGACAGGAAAGCCTAGAGAAGACAATTATGCTGGGGAAAGTGGAAGGCAAAAGGAAGAGGGGCCGACCAAGGGCAAGATGGATGGATGGCATCCTTGAAGTGACTGGACTGACCTTAAGGGAGCTGGGGGTGGTAACGGCCGACAGGGAGCTCTGGCGTGGGCTGGTCCATGAGGTCACGAAGAGTCGGAGACGACTGAACGAATGAA